TTGGGAGGTGATTGGGGTGTGAGGGTGGAGCCTGTGACTGGGATCAGCACCTGAGAAGGAGGTTCCAGGGAGCCCCTGGCCCCTTGTCCCGAGGCTGGTGGTCTGTAGACCAGGAAGCCGCGCTGACACCAGCTCAGCTTGGGCCTGGGCCTGGGCCTGCAGCCTCCAGACTGAGAAGTAAATGTCTGTTGCTCCTGGGCCCCCATCACAGCAGCCTGACGGACGAAGACCAGGCGACCCCCCATCTGTTCATTCAACTGTGTGTGGGCGCAGTGCTCAGGGGAAGGGCAGTGTCCCCCTCCAGGCTGACCCCTAGAGACCTGAGGTCAAAATAGGAGAATGGGTTTGGGCCCCGAGGGCCTTTCTGCCCAGATGGGGGGCACGCACCTGGGGCCTGGCTGCTCTCCCCCCGGGGATGCTGGCCTCGGGCTGCACTCCCCAGAGCCCTGTCCACTCCAGGCTGCGAGGCCCTGGCTTCCTGTCCCTTATCTCACAGGAAGGGGTGGGCGTGGAGGGAAGCAGACACCCTTGCAGCAGGCGCTGAACAAGGCCCTTCTTCATGCAAATCAGCTCAGGCACTGGCCATCTGACCCAAATGCGGGCGCCGCTGCCTCTCAGCACCAGGGGAATATGACCATGGGGCGCGGCCCCCACCCCTTCCTTCTCTCCAACAGCACCTAGAGGGAGCACTAAGCATGGGGGTGGGGGGCTGGGGGCAGGACCCACCACCCTGCTCTGCCCAACTCAGGTGCACAGCCCAGGACTGGAACCTGAGGACAGCGGAAAGCACACATAGGCATATGAGCACAGGCACATACATGCGTGCACAGAGACATACCCAGGCATGTACACACATGCACACACAGGTATGTACACGTGGGCAGGCACACATGGGCGCACACATGTGTGCCACCCCAGCTGCACGGCGGGAGGAATGTGAGGACCCAGGGGCTGCTCTGGCTGCATCGCTCAGGTGTGGCCTCACAGAGGAAGAGCATGTTCCTTGTCTGCACGGAGGCAGCGGGGAGCACAGAGGGTTATTCCAGGACAATGTGAAAACATACAAATAATTCATGTCACCATCATGTCTGTCACAGGTTGCTGTGCATAATTAATTCGCACTTCACACTGCTTTCCGTGGCCGGAGGTGGCAGGAGGCAGAGCCCCCTGACAGCAGGCAGGAGCCCGGGCCTGGAGGAGCCCCCCACCCATCGTGGGACATGGGGGAGCAGGGTGCCACTGGGTCCTGGAGCCAGGCCGCCTCCTAAGGCCACTTGGCTGCCCACTGCTGCTGTCCCTGGACATCACGGCTGGGCTGACGATGGCTTTCTGTGTAAACATTCACAAGGCCTCTCAGCCAGGGCTGGTTGTTCATATTCTAAGAAAGCAGAGTGGGGCACGTGCTCAGAGTGGGTGCGGCCAGCGTGCAGCTGATGGGAATGTGGCCGTGGACATTTCAGACCCACCCTTCAGCATCAGGGCTTCTGTCTGAGAGTCTCCAGGCAGACCACGGGGCGGTGGGGCAGGACCAACTGTCCATGGGGTGCCTGTGGCTTCTCCTAGTCTCCCCCCAGTCCCCCACCTTCCTGGGCTCCAGGCCTGCACTGCTCTCCACCCTTCTCCAGGTGTCTGTCCCACACCCACAGCCCTGTCTGCAGTGGGGACACTGACCCCTTTCTGCACCGTGTCCACGGTGGGTTCCCATCGCAGTTAGGAGCAAACCCAGCCCATGCTGGGCTCTTGGGGTTCAGGCACATCCTCTGTCCCCCTCTGGCCAGGGCTGCTCACATCAGCTGGCTAGTCTCCGCCCTATCCCTGCTGGGTGGCAAGTGACAAGGGCTGGATGGGTCACCCGAGCATCTGGGGTACTGCATGGGCCCCCACGGTGTATCGCTATCTCTCGGCTTAGGACACACAGTAGCCCGAATACCCATGCGCTCTCCTGTGGGGCCACTTCTGCTGCAGACTGTGTGGGGTGCTGGCAGCTGGCCCGTGGCAGCCGCCCCCAGCACCAGCCGCCATCCCAGGCGCAGTGCGGGCCACACACCGAGAGCCACAGCAACCTGCCAGAGGCCCGTGTGGCACAGTTGCCAGCAGGCCTGGGCATGCTGCCCGCTGGGGCTGGGGGAGGGGCCAGCCAGGAGCTGCTGAATCAGCGGCTCCGTCTGTCCCTGTGTGTCCCTGCCCCTCCCAGGAAGGATGCTGGTGAGGAGGGAGCGCCTCCTGCTCCTCTTTGGGGAGCTGCTGGGAGGCCTGCCAGCTTGCGGGGGCTCCGGACAGTGGCTCCTGCAGCCAGCGCCCCTGCGTGGAGCCTGGTGCAGGAGGGGCAGGGCCATCCTGGCGGGTGGGGAAGGGGCTAGCGGAGAGGCCCTTCCAAACAGCACCAACAGGGAGACAGAACAGGCCTCTGCAGATGGAAGCACGTTCCCTCCCAGAAAGTGCCGAGTCAGCACAGCGCCCTGCCATCCTCTCCCCTCCTCCAATCACAGGCTGGACGCGGGGACGCTCAAGGTCAGGGCACATCAATACCTCCGCAGGGACTCGGTCACTCTAGGCCGCCAGCTTCCCGGGGGTGGGGGCTGTCCCTCCCCCAGGCTGTCCAGCCCGCTGCCACCACCTGGGGGGGAGGGAGGTGGGGGACATAGGAGCCTGGACAGCACCTAGACCTTCTCAAATAAGCCTGTGGTTTCTAGAAACTTCCAAAGCATCACCCCATCTCGCCCCACCCCCAGCCCCTCACACCCGGGCTGCTCATTTCCATCACTGGGCCTGGCAGCTGGGCTGGCTCAGCTCTTCCTGCCCAGGCACCGCCCGCACCTGGCCCCAGGGAACCCCACGGAGCTCTCAGACCTTTGTTCAAGGGAGAACTGCTCCCTCCTCCTGTCCCTTCTCTGCCCCAGCCCTGACCTCCGACCCCAGCCCTGACCTCCCTCCCATCTTGAAGTCGGGAAGCCTCCTGTTGTCCTCCTGCCCAGCAACTGCCCTCCCCCAGACGTGGCCATCTTCTTCCTGGGCCTCTCGGCCTCCTGTGCCCGACGCCCATAGCTGCTGCACCCAGCTCTCCCTCGGGGCTGCTCTCCCTGGGGCCACCGTGGTTTGGTCCACGCTGCCCACCCTCCACCCTCCAGGTTGACGACGGGGCTTCAGTGCCCAGCTCCTGACCCCAAATCAACAGCCCGTGCTCTCCAGCCACCAGCCTGCAGGTGCTGCCACCACCAGGCGGCATTGCCAACTCCGGTGCTCTGGGCACTCCCTGGCCTTGGAGTCCCCATCGTCACCCACCTGCCCGTCCTGCTGTGCACTGGGCAGGTGGCCCTCCTCACCCGTCCCAGGTCACGGACCTGACTGCCCGTCTCCTGACCACTTCTCTACTCAGTGCAGCGGGGCCTTGGGGGCGGGGGGGCGAGGAGGGAGCGGCAGCCGAGGCCTGGAGGCTCTGCAAGGATCAGTCCTGCCCTGCCCCAAACCTGTCCCAGCCCCTGCAGGTGCTGGCGCCTCACTCCAGGATCAGGAACCCTCCAGAAGCTCCAACCACGCAGGTCATTTGCTGTCCCGAGGCCTGCAGGCCTTGTGTCTCCCCCTCCAGCAGAGCTAACCGCCCCCCCGCCCCCGCCCCCCGTGCCTCAAGGGCCCAACCCTTCTCTGGCAGATCCCTAGCTGGCAACTAGAGCAGTTTGGGGACCGAGGCTCTGTGCAGGCCCTGCCTCCCCCGCCGGCCACTCTGCTGGTGTCTTTGAAAGTGGTGACAGTCGTGCAGGGGACAGGAGGGGCCTGCAGCACACCGAACACGACGCTATCACCCCGTGAGGCGACCTGAGCCAGCTGGGGCCCAATCCGTTCAGCCTCGAGCTGCTCGGCCCCAGCAGCCCCTGGTCCCAAGCTCAGGGCTCAGGGTCCGGTGCTCCCACACTGAACAGCACTGGCCCAGAGGACCCCTGGGGAAGCCACTGCAGCCCCCCAAAACGAGGCAGAGCGGGTGGGGAGGCCGGTGTGGCAAGACCAACCTGGGACAGCACTGGCAGCCCTGCCACCACTCCAGGGAGGCAAGTGCCTGGGAGTGCTCACCCCAGGTGCCCTCTTGTGCCCACATCTGGGCTCCCGGGCCCGGCAGAGCACCCCCAGCTCACTAGGCTTTGTCACAGGAAGTTCACCTGTGGCTCCGGCTGAGGCTTTGGTGAGGATTTCACCAACTCCGCCATCAACAGCTGGCCACAAAATGAGTCGGGTTTTTTCTAAAATGTTTAGTTCCTCAAAAGTCCAGAAACAGCAGACAGGCCTCAAGGTCACTTTCTGGCCATCGGCTGCTCTGAAGGACACCACCCTTGTCCCCTGCATAGAAGCCAGGGAACCTTCACAGACGTTTTCTGAGGAATCGTCTCCCATGTTTCAACCTGCTTTCCGGTTAAACGAGACTGTAACTTGGGAAAATACCCTCGACACAGGCAACAGTGTGGTGGTGACCAGAGGGAAAGGGGTGGGAGGTGGAAGAGGGTGGAGGGCTGATCAACGGTGACAGGAGGAGATTGACTGGGGGTGCAGAGCACAACACGATGTACTGGTGACGTCTGTAGACTTGTACCCCTGAAGCCTATCTGATTGTATTAACAATGTCACCCCAACACACACAACTCAAGAAATGGCGACTTTCTGCCTCCTTTCCTGCACACACCCTGTCCCTCAGGGTGACTGCCAGACGCCCTTCCCACTCCCCGGTCTGCGAGGGAGTCCCCCATCTTTTTAAGGGCCCACACCCCATCTGCTGGTGGGGTTCAGTTCCGGAGCCCAGGCAGGCCCCTCGGGCCGCTGACAAGTTCTCACTGCCATCCTGCCACGTCTGCGGGCAGGCTCCCACCGTGGACCCGTGGCCTCAGGTCAAGGCAGGGCCCCCCCCCCCCCCCCCGCATTGCAGATGACTGTTCTAAAACGTGCCAAATTCTATTTGTTTGTTAATATCCTTAAAAAAGAATAAGCTTTTTGAGCCTCAAGCAATCACTCCATCAACACATTAAAAAAATAAGTTTAATGCAGGTGGCTCGTTTCATAAAGAATTTCACAGGCACTCGAGACCCCGGGCAACTGCTCGTTGAGCGTGTCAACTCCTAGCACTGCCGCGCAGACACCCACGGTGGCACACACCCAGACCCTCCTGCCTTCCCCATGGTGTGCTCACGCCGACCTCAGTCAGGGGACTTCGAAGGATGTGAGCAGCGTGAATAATTAACACAAAACAAAGCTTATAGGGAACAGCATGACTTAGTGCAAGAGATGCTCCGCAGTGCTGCGGGGTCTCCGAGGGTCAGCGCCTCAGCTCCTTCCTCCAGGAGCCTCCCACTGACCTCAGGCTGACCACCGTCCAGCAGAGCCGGCCACAAACGGAGGGGCACGGTGACAGCCAAGTGCTTTTTGCTTTTTCTACCTGATTTGGGGCTCCTTCCAGTGGCACATAACTCCTGACAGTCCCCCTGGGGCCACTGGCCTCCCTGGCCAGGCAGGGTCAAAGGGACCACTCTGCCTGTTGTCCCAGCAGAATTATTCAGAGTGCCCGCCCACTGGCCAAGGAGGCCCACGGTGGCCACTGAGCGACATGGCCACCCTGTCCCCCTCGCTGCAGGCCAGAGGAAGGGTCGGGATAGAAGCTGGCTCTGGAGTGGTTCTCTGACCAAAACGGTCCCCCAGGACGACCTGCCCTTTGCTCTTTCCTGGCCACAGTCCCTGCGGACATTCATTTTTGCTTCCCACTCCCCAGCTGCTCTAGCTGCCCCGGGGCAGGAGCAAAGGGGCGCCTAGCCTCTCACCCAGAGATCCAGCCCCGGGCCACCCCTCGACACTAGGTGGTGCCTCAAACACAGGTCTGCCCACGTTTCGTGGCACACCCAGCGCCCGGCCCGAGACCGCCGACATCTGCTCCAGACACGCGTCCCATTCTGTGTTCTGACCAAAAGCAGCCCCAGAGCCAGAGAGGGATTGAGGTGCCTCCCCAGAAACCCACATGTGAAGGGGCCTGACACTCCCCGACCTGCCCAGGAGGAAGACGGATCTGCCCGGGGCCAGAGCCCAGTCTCCCACCTGCCGGGGCCTGACTCCCTGCTGGACTGCGCCTGCACAAACAAGGCCCTGAAGACTGGCCGGGACTCAGACCCCATGGTGGTCACTAGGCAACATGGCCACTCTCAGGGTGCTGTCGGGGCGGCCCTGTGGCAGTGTGGTGACTGGACCTGATGCTTCCCTACGGCTGGGGCCGGGGCGAGTCCAGGAAGACCCCTCCAGACTTGTTCCTGGGCAGCACACCCCTACACCACTGGGGACGCCTGTGTCCTGGGGAGTGGACGGGACACAGAGGCTCTCCAAGTACAGACTGATCGTGACCACCCCCAAGCACGGTCTGGGAAAGTGCGGGCTGGAGCCATGGGGGTGGCCAAGGGTGAGTGCCCCTGAATGCACACACAGGAGGGTCAGCGGACGGGAGGGCGCAGCGTCCATGCACAGAAGTCACAGCCCATTCCTCTCCTGGGCAGAGAACCAGCTACTGGACGTAGCGTGAAAGACAAGGCCCTGAGCTACCTGGTCAAGAAGCGGCCGGCCGCAGGCATCGGCCCCACTGGTCGCAGGAACCGAGCCCGGCCCAGGCCGCGGGCGCTCACATATCCACGAAGACCATGAAGCACCAGCCCAGGCCGCCCACCAGCAGCAGGGTCACGTGGATGCCGTAGACCAACAGCTCGTTGAGCAGGCGGAAGTCCACGCGCCGGCGGCCCAGCAGCAGCAGCAGCACCGACAGCTTGAGCTGGAAGCGCAGCAGGACGCGCACGCCCAGGTACTGCAGGCAGAACAGCGCGGCCAGCGCGCCCCACAGCGCGGCCGTGAAGAGGCTGCAGCTGAAGTAGAGCAGGAAGCGGATGAAGCCGTAGAGCCAGCGCGCGCGCATGTACACGTCGAAGTTGTTGTACTTGGTGCGCGCCAGGCGGGAGGTGCGGAGGGGCCCGGAGGCCGCGTGCAGGCAGGTGGTGTGCGGGCCGTGGAAGGAGCGCACCCGCCGGGGGATGGGCATGACCGGCATCGGGGCCTCGGCGCTAGCTGGCGGCAGACGCAGCGTCCAGGCGGTGGTCAGCGTCATGGGCACCTAGGCCTGCGAGCCCGCGGCGGGGGAGGCGTGGGCCTGCAGGGAGCGACAAGCAGAGGAGCCGGGTCAGCCCGGGAGCAGCCAGCGAGGGAGCCCGTCCCTGCCTGCCGGGCACCTGCCAGCCTTGGGCGCAGGGACACCGAGCGCAGGATGCCGGACCTGCACAAGCGCTCTGCGGACACTCCAGAGGGACCACAGGCACGTGGAACAACGTGCTCATTCTACCGGTGACTGGGGAGAGGGCCGGGGTGGCGGGTGGGCCCCTGGGAGCAGTCAACGCCGAAACCGAGGGGGAACGACAGGAGCCCCGGCTAAGCTCGCCCTCCACAGGCTGCCAGTCACTCACTACTCACCCTCTCGCTTTCATCTGGGTGCCTAGCCCTGCCTGGACCGGAGCCCCTTTTATCCAGGGGGAATAAAAGTCCCTCAGGGGCACCCTACAGGGCCAGGACGGGGGAGGGGTGCCCCAGGCACACGAGAGCAATTCACTTCAGCAACCTGTCCCCCAGGTGCTGGGAGCTAGACAGCTCTGCGAAGTCCAGGAGGTGCGGTGTAAGGACCCACCATGCCTGGCAGGTGTGGCAACCGCCTGCTGGTGTGTCCGCAGGACGCGGGGCGTGCAGACCGGCCTCGAGGACAAGAGAAGCGGCAGTGGCTCCAGGTTACGTGGGAACCGCCATCGGAGGTTGCCTACATCTGTGGATGGAAACAGCGCTGAAGGGCAGAACGCGTACAGGTTGCCGGGAAGCACCCGAGGCGTCTGCCTGCCTTCAGGGGGGCGGCAGCTGCGGGCCGTGAGGGGGCCTCTCCAAGTGCCCTCTCCGGCGCCAGTCCGAGCAAATGGCCACCGAGCTGTCCGGCCGGAGGCGGAGGAGTGGGGAGGCCGGCATCCCCCGCCCACAGGCCCGGCCTTCCCCGCAGGGTTTGGCCAGAACCTGGTCTCACAGCAGCTGCCCGGCGGCTCCTTCCAGCTCCGCCTCGGCCTCGCCCCCCACCCCCGACCCCCGGCACGCGCGGCATTCAGAGCCGGTGCCCTGGGCGGGAGGGTCGCGCACCGCCGCCCCTCACTTTACGCTGCGGGACCGGCCCGCCTCCCATCTCCACGGGGCCCGCGGGCAAAGCAGCTCCCGGTGCCCGAAGACGCCCATGCCTCGGGCTTGGAGTTCGGGAAGGCGGCCGAGGCCTTACGCGGGACCGCCGCGCAGCGGCTCCATCCCGCCGACCGCCCCAGGCCCCATCTTCCCGGGCGCCCCGCCGCGCCGGTGGCAACGACTCTCCGATCAACGCGTGCCGGGCGTGAGGCGACTCTGCCCTCGGGCCTCTGGGGGCACCGGCGTCGGCGAGGGCAGGACCGACGCGCCGCCCGCGCCCGCCCGTTGCCCTGGAGACGCCCGGGCCGCCCCGCCATCCCGCTCACCGGGTGCCCTCTCCGCGCCGGCGTCCCGGCCTGCGGGCTCCGTGGTCCCTCGGGGCTCCCGGAGCAGGGCGGCCGCATGGTGCCCACGCACGGTGGCTGCGGGCCTGGCGGCTCCCGCGTCCCCACCCGCCCCGAAGGGCCAGGGCTCCCGCGCCCGGCGGCGTTTGGCCCCGCGCGGCCGCCGTAGCACTGCCCTCGCGCCCTCCGCCCCCTCCACACCGCGAGCGCCTCCTGCCCCCAGTTCGGGGCGGACGTCCGCGCGGGGCGCGCTCCATGACGTTACCATCGACGTCTCCGCCTCGCGTACGTCGCTGGCGCAGCTCCGACCGGCGTGCCGTCCCGACGCAGCTCCTCTGCGCACGCGCCGCTGCAACCCACGCGGCCAGCTGCGCGCAGGCGCCGCTCCGGGGGGCGGGGCTGGGTGGCCTGCGCCGAGGGCACCTGCAGGGACGGGGCCACGCCGGCCGGGGGTCTGCGCCCCTCGCGCCGGGGCGTTGGGGTGGAGCCGGGCCTAACGAGCCTGGCGCGTGGACACCCACGGGCTCTGGAGTCGCCCCTGTCCTTGGAGAAAGGATTTTTATGCAGATGTTTTAATTTTTTTTTTTTTTAATATATTTTATTGATTTTTTACAGAGAGGAAGGGGGAGAGATAGAGAGTTAGAAACATCGATGAGAGAGAAACATCGATCAGCTGCCTCCTGCACATCTCCCACTGGGGATGTGCCCGCAACCCAGGTACATGCCCTTGACCGGAATCGAACCTGGGACCTTTCAGTCCGCAGGCCGACGCTCTATCCACTGAGCCAAACCGGTTTTGGCAAGATGTTTTAATTTTTTAATATGTGTTTTTATTGATTTCAGAGAGGAAGGGAGAGGGGGAGAGAAACATCGATGATGAGAGAGAATCATGGATCAGCCGCCTCCTGCACGCCCGCTACTGGGGTTGGAGCTCACAACCCGGGCATGTGCCCTGACATGGAATCAAATCGTGACCTCCTGGTTCATAGGTCGGTGCTCAACCACTGACCCGCGCACGCCAGGCTATGCAGACGTTTTTAAAATATTTTAATCCCTGGGAGGGGTCAGGATACAGGGAGACACTTCTCCTTGGATGTAGTCAGCAAGTGACATTCGCCTGAATTCCATCAAGTTCAAAGACTGTGCAGGTTCCACACCCTCGGGAGCTAAGTGCCTGCCTGTCGCCTAGTTGAGTCCTCATGCCCAGCCCCTGTCGTGTCGGAAGGACCCAGTGTTGAAGGGTCTGCCAGGGTCGGATGAGAGGGAGGGAGGGGGGGAGGAGCGAGAAGACCCGAGGCCCAGAGCAGCTGTGCAGCAGCAACAGAAGAGGCTGAGCAAGAAGGAGCCGATGCGCAGTGGTTCTTACAGCGCATCTTCTCCGCAGGGTGGGCCTCCCCTGCTCTGCACCCCCACCTGCCAGTGCCAGGCAGCCCCCCCCTCCGCCCCCTTGTTCTAGCCCCTGAGCTGCCCCTGCACACTTGCCTTTACTGCAGTCACCCCTCCACCTGCAGAGCTCCTACTCAACCTTCAAAACCTGGATCAAATAACCCCTTCCTGGGAAGCGCCTCCCGCCCTGTGCCACCCCTTCCTGGCCCCCACTACCCCTGGCGGGCAGGATTCTTACTCAGCCCTACTCCTCCACCCCCAAAGCTGCAAAGATTCCCCTCTCCCCTGCTAGCTGTTCTCTCACCACAGTAAGATGTGTTTTTGCCTTGCCATCCGGGCCACACATGCACGTGTTTAAACAACTCCAGGAGCCTCACAAACAACGCTTCTGACCACACGCTGCCGAAGCCAGGATGGCTCCCGCCTGCAGCCTGACCAGCACCCCTCATACAGCGGTTCTCCACCTTCTGGTCCTTTAAATACAGTTCCTCATGTTGTGACCCAACCATACAATGATTTTCGTGGCTACTTCATAACTGTAACGTTGCTACTGTGATGAATCGTCATGTAAATATCTGATACGCAGGATGGTCTCAGGTGACCCCTGGGAAAGGGTCGTTCGACCGCCAGAGGGGTCGCGACCCACAGGTTGAGAACCGCTGCATCAGGAGGACCTGGGCAGGACCTAGGGAGCTTGCCCTGGTGTGGGGGTTCCCAGCTCTCCATCCTCGGGGGTGCCCTGCACCAGGTCAGCCCCAGGCCTGCCCAGGCCTCCCTCTGGCAGGGGCCTGGCGCCACCTGCTGGGACAGCACGGGCAGTGCGGCTGAGTTAGCCGCAGGTACTGGTGATTGGGGCTCAGAGTCTGGGGATAAAGAGGGCGCCCTCAGTGGAACCCCACGGATCCCCGGTTGTCCATGGCAGAGCTGAGTCACCCCGACACAGAGACGCAATGGCCTGCAGATCCGGAAACCTGGTCTCTGGCCTTTCAGGGACATGTATTGACTGGCAGTAAAGGACATTTATTCTTGCTGTGCCCGGCGCCTCTTTAATGGCCCTGCAGTCACCTCGACAATCAGAGATTTCCCCCTTGGCTCTGTGCTGCCTTAGTGACCAGATCCTGAGACCTCAGGGACCCCATGATTTCCCGGGGTGGGGGTCACAGGCAGCTGTACAGCATCCACTTCCCTCAGCACCCAGCTGCTGTGCTGAGGGGGAGCATGGGGGGGGGGCGTGGAAGAGAGGGCACAAGGGGGGGGCAGGTGGGGACTATGTGGGGAGCAGGCAACAGTTACGTAGAGGGCACGTGGGGATCCTAAGGGAGGAACGTGGAAGTCACATGGGGACCATGTTGGGGGACCCAGAGGACATGTTGGGGAGCATGTGGGGTGTCATGGTGGAAGTCATATGGAGGGCACCTGGGGAGCAGGTGGGGACTGTGTGGGAGTCTGTGGGGGTCTAGTGAGGACCATGTGTGTTGTCATGCGGAGGGAAGTTGGGGACTATATGGAGCTCTTGTGGGGGGCATATAGGGGCACCTTGGGGCCACATAAAGGGCACATGGGGGCATTTGGGGGCCATGCTGGGGCACGTGGGCTTATATGAGGCCATGGTGGGGCTCCAGTGCTTGGCCCTGCTGAAGCCAGCCTTTGGGTGTTTGGTGCCAGAGTCAGACCGGTGAGTGAAGGAGCCTCCAGCCCACACACTGAAGGGTCATGGGTTCAATTCCCGGTCAAAGGCATGTACCTGGGTTGCACGTTCGATCCCCAGGCCTGGTTGGGGCGCATGCGGGAGACAACCAATCAAGGTGTCCTCACATCGATGTTTCTCTCTCTCCCCCTCCCTCCACCCTTTCACTCTCTCTAAAAATCAATGGAAAAAATATCCTCTGGTGAGGATTAACAAAATAAAAAATAAAAAAATGGAGGCCCGGGCTTTGGAGAGCAGCGGGCCTCAGCCTGGCATCTCCAAGTGATGTCCCAGACATTGACCCACCCAGGCTCTGTCTGGGCCCCACGCAGCCTGTGCTCAGGGCAGGACGCCAGGCGCTGGGCAGCATCGTCGTGAATGACGTTGGGACTGTGCAGGGCGGCTGGGTTAGACTCTTAGTTTACAGTTTGCCCGCATTTTGGAAGTGTGCCCCTCACCCACCCTAAGCTCCACCTTCCGAAGTGTAGAGCCTTCTCTGTGCCGGGCAGCACGGCCCAGCCTGGCACAGGGATAAGGAGGAGAAGACACAGCCCAGCTTCTTGGCGGCTCTGACCTCCTCCCAGGCAGCAGGCCCCTAATTATCCAAAGACCCAGACCCAGGCCATGACGGGGCCACGGGAGGCTTGCTTCAAGGTTGGTGCCCACTGCCCAGGTCTGTGCTAACTTCACAGAACACACACTCGTCCTCCGTCCTCCGGTGGCTGAGCAGGGCTGGGCTGACAGGAGGGAAGATCCGTGGCCGAGCCGTCGCCCGGCGTGGGCAATCTGTCGGCTCCCAGGAACCTGGCCAGGCGGACGTATTTTACTGCAGGCTCGGAAGACAAACATACGCATTTATATGCCACTTGTTGCCATAGAAATGCGAACCTGTACTCCTTTCAAAACTTTTAATGGATTGTACACATTGCGGGAGATTTAAAGGGTAAATGCAATGGCTCAAAATGTTACTTTTAACATATTGTCACTTTGATAACAGCACCAAAAAAAAAAAAAAAAAATCTGGAAGACATTGCCCTCGGAAATGAATTATAAATAGATGCATCTTAAAAGAGGTTTATTTTGGTCATTAATGGTTGATGGGCCCCCAGCGCAGGATTTAAAGTTAAATTATGCAAAATCCAAAACCAACCTTATAATATGTAATCAAACATGCATAAAACTGTCAGGCCCAAATAAATTCTCTCAATTAACTTGCTTCAGACCGTGATTGCATCCGCTAATCTAATCAGCCCAAAGTGATCTGAAGGTGGGGAGATGGATGACAGGTGGATAGATGCCCATGAGGGCGAACCCCATGGGGAGCAGGCGCAGCACACCCCACCCCAGCGAGCGTGGGGCAGGACCTTGGAGGGTGGAGGTTGGGCCCACGTTTACTGGGTGGGCATGGAGGCAGCGTCTATCAGCCAGGCACCAGCTCCAAGCCACGTAGGCCGGCTGTCCTGGGCACACCTGGCCTCACCTGCGACACCTGGATGAGCCAGGCCTGGAGTCACCTGGTCTGCTGGGCTCCGGAAGCCCCGGTGCTCACGTCAGCTGTGAGCTCTGTCTCCCTCTGTCTTTTCCAGAACAATGAGTACAGAATGTGCTGGGATAGTCCATTCTCACCCAATCTCCCCACAGAGCCCCCCGGTTCCTGACTTAGAGTCTTTTACAAAAAATAGGTAGGTAGGTAGATAGATAAATTTCAGAGAGGAAGGGAGAAGGAGAGAGAGTTAGAAACATCAATGATGAGAGAGAATCATGGATCGGCTGCCTCCTGCACATCCCCTCCCATCCCCCATCCCCTCTGGAGATCAAGCCTGAAACCCAGGCATGTGCCCTGACCAGGAATCCAACCGTGACCTTCTGGTTCATAGGTCAATGCTCAACCACTGAGCCACGCCGGCCTGGCCCTGCCTTAGATTCTTGATTAAATGAGGGCCTTGACATAAGCTGCATTTTGTCCTTTTTGGGGTGGGATGGGGTGGTGACAGGCAGACAGACAGGTCAGGGATGCACCCATGCCTGGCGCCTGGGCTGTGGGGAGAAGGGGTCCCTGTGGTGGGGACCCAGGCGTTGTGCTTCCTGTCTGTCGGCTGCACACCAGCTGAAGACCCTAACAGACCTCTGAGACCCAAACAAGGCTTTGTGCTTCAA